CGATGGAACTTGGACTGTTGAGTTTGTTAGGAGCTGGACCCCAAGACTACGTCAAGATCCCATTACCCCCCAATGGACCTCGACAATGCCTTTAAGGCAACTTGACGGATATCCGAGTCGTGCAAGGATATTCGCCTTTCGCACTTCGAGAAGATTTCTTCACGGAGCCTTTCTACTAGAGCACATAGTCGATGCAGCCTATCGGCTCTAATTTGACCTGTCAAAGATGGCTAGTGAGAAGAATCAAGTCTCCATGGGCCGCACACCTTGCTGCTCGATTAGCCTCAACTTCTGAAGATGATTCTTGCTTTTGATGAATCGAAATGTTTCGTCATGCTAGGGATTTCCGATGACCTTGCCTTGATGAGCAGTAAAAGCTTATCGCTTTTTGCACCTGTGCAACTTCTTTATTGCTCATATTTGAAAAAAATAGGTACACACCATTTCCTCTGAAACTTTAATTTCACCGCATCTGATGGAACCTTCCCCTTTGCTTCCCCATTCACCATCATCTGCCGTCCACAAAGGGTCATCTCCCATCTCCTCAACGATAGTTTCTTCTTCTGCTTCAATTTCGAGGTTGTTCAGCTTGGCCTCTCGCAATATGGCTGCGAAATTGTCGATGATAATCCTTTCCATTCTGCATGGAGTACGAGGCTCTTCGCAGCATCCAAATTCTCTCACAAGATATGTCAACATCACTTCTGGTGAGAACATTGCGAATAAAAATGACTCGCAAGCCCAAATTTCTTTCCATTTTACTTTTTCCTGTTACTCTGAGACGAACAGGTGACTTTCTACGCTATTTCACCATATTGGTCTTCAAAATTAGAGTCTGTTACGACTCCTCGTTCATTAGCGACAAATCAGATTCGGTCATTGTTTTGCTTTCAAACTGTTATTTTTTCCGCGGCATGCTGCCGGTGCTATGTTACTGATCATAGGATCTTAAGAAAGAGTGCTTGATGCGGGGCAAACGCAGTTTTCACCACTAAAAAATCGTTGGTAGCGTGGAGAGGTGATGGAACAGCGTTTGTAAGCCAAAAAACAAAAAAATCTCAAACGCACAAAAAAGTTTGAAGGGAAAAGGAATCG